AAAGAAAATCAATATAGGTACAGCCTGACCGTCAAATTTTGAATAGCTTTGAAGAAACATAGTCTAGGACAACATCATGATAGTTCCTCATATATATTTATAATTCTAAATAGAAATACACCTTTCTCTGGTGCTGGTTAACTCTTGAATTGTGTTTGGAAAATGAACATATCTATTCAATATTTCTGAAAAGTTGAATGCTCCCAACACCTCATGTGTTTTTGAAATCCATGACTGGCTGAGAGTTACTGTATGATTTCTGCCTAAATCCAGCTGGTAGCTTCCACTTGCAAAGAAACGCAAGGCAGGCAGTATCTAAAACATTAATGTCACGGAATCCTATAAGTACTCGTACATGCATTCCACATTAACTGAACGATGATGGTGTTTTTACAGTACACTAGGTTGTTATAATGCAAATATCACTATTGTATCACTCGTATATATAAGATGTTTTGTCAATCTTAGAAGTAAAGTACTTCATTATTATTGTTACTTACCTTGTGATTACTTATCGCGTGCGATCTAGGATGTACTGGGAAAAATGGTTGTAACATTTCTTCCCAATTTTACACGTCCTGTTTTTGCAGACGATATAATTTCACAAAATTAAAGTCAGAGAATTCGATCGGATCATCAGCATAGAATCTTTGCCTCTCCACATGTTCAATAATCCGGATTCAATTAACCCCAGCAAACTGGTATGCCATTTCTAGGTATACTTTGGATATAATTATCTAAATATAAGGACCACAGTAGCCTCAATTACACCCAAAATCACGATGTAAATAAGAATTCTGACAGCAGTGACAGTACTCATCACGAAAGCGATAAGCAAAACGCCGACCACTTGGTAGTCGTTTTGAAAGCGACGAGCGCTTTTCAAAAACGCTGAGCGTTCGGGCAACGGGAATACCATATATTGGCAAGTGCGTCGAAAGCAAGTGCAAATGACGTCATATTCGCTGAGCGACTGGAAAACGCTTAGCGTTTTGGAGAACGAAAATACCGGTCCTCGTACAATTTTCCTTGTAGTGCAATGGCATAAAATCCCGTAGTCTTTTCATGAAAGAGCTCATAAGAAACCTCATTAAATTACACACAAAACCTATCGAAGCCCCTATATGTCTGGTCCGAAATTTTATAGTTCAGGAGATATTTGCAATTTTGTGAAATTTGGAAAAAAACGGGATAATGAACTTTCAATAGCAATTACAACTAAACCAATAGGTTTAGGTCTATGATTTTTTTTCTGAGATGAGGTGTATAGTTAGTTTCAGCAATGGTTATATCACTTTTTGACATAGCTTATTAAAAATCAACGCAAAAAATCATAAATTAATTTTTTTGTGAAAAATCTCTTCCATCCCTCAACTTTGGAGGGCGGTAAAGAAATTGAGGTTGTGTTTCATTATTATTTTAATCCATGTATAATAAACCCGGAAAATGCAGCTTGCTACGATTCTTCAAATATTCTCACAAAATTCGGCCCGTTGTGCATAGTCGGTTGGAAGCGGTTCTTGTACTTTTTGTTCATGGTAAGGATCGATATTCTCCGAGTGTAGTATTGTGTGCACTGAAGTATCGGAAATTATTCTGCTTCGGACAATGGCTCTGGTGCTTATAGGGGGATCTTTCTCGGCTGCTTCTATTATATCTTCTATATCTTCTGGGCGTATCCTCGGCGCTCCTAGCTGACGATGAGTGCCTAGTATGCGGCCCTCCATATACGCATTATGCATGCGTAGAAAGACGCGGTAGTCGGGATATACCGCCGGTTGTGGTCCACCTCTTATAATCACATATTCCCGATACAAGCGTTGATTTTTAATAAGCTATGTCAAAAAGTGAACTATACACCTCATCTCAGAACAAAAAAATCATAGACCTAAAACCTATTGGTTTAGTTGTAATTGCGATTGAAAGTTCATTATCCCGTTTTTTTCCAAATTTCACAAAATTGCAAATATCTCCTGAACTATAAAATTTCGGGCCACACATATAGGGATTCATTCCATATATTTTGAGGCCCTCTATCACCTGACTTCCGTTGATCCACTACGAACTTCACACCCTGTGTCGATAATATCGTTTTTGGTATTTTTTCCGCTGCCACTGGACCAATTTCCAAAAGCTACAGTGATTTTTCGTCCTTGTGTGAAACTTCAGTCCAAACACGAATCAAGTTATAGGCGGGCCACTGATATACGAACAGGCGGATAGGCAGACATACAGGGTGTTTCACAACTTATCCGACAAATTTTAACCACATATAGCCAACGCCAAACAAAGTGGCGTGCACGTCTTCAAGGTGGGTGTGTTGAAAAATTTACATTGTTGCCAAACTTTTTGTAAAATAATAAAATTTATTATTTACATATCTAGGTTTATAAGCAATATTAACCTCAAATGAGAACAAAAATAATAGTATAATAATATTATAGATCTGTACTTGCATAATCATTAAGTATGACAATTATTGATCAGATGACACTATGAAACTACCATATTTAATTGATAGCTTAAAGGCACTGAATAAAAATCCAAATGGGGTCCTCCAAATTTTATGCATGGTATTTATTTTACAGAATTCATACAGAAAAATGCATTCTAAAATTAGGTAAGCTACTGGTGTAAGCTTTTTCTGTACAATAAAGTTAGTGGGAGTTTCTTTCTTCAGCGCTGTCTGAATCTGAATCTTCATCACTCTCAAAGTTGATTATTAAAGGTTCGATGTCTGGTCGATCAAAAATTCGTTCTCTTTCATACCATTTAAAAATTTCTTGCTCAGTATGTCGAACACTATTTTTCCACATGTCTGGGGTAACCGTTTGTAGAGCCTCGTTCCATATATCCAAACAGTCTTTTTCACTGTTACCATCTCTACCAATATGTCTGTTATAGTAACCTTTTGCTATGCCCCAAATTAACTCAATAGGGTTAAATATACAATGGTAAGGAGGCAGACGAAGAACTTTGTGCCCATGTTGTTCCGCCAATTCATCTATCACGTATATTTTAGGTGGTTTGTTTCTAAAAAAGCAGTTATTTTAAGAATAGGAATAAACAAAAGAAATATAAACTGTCGACCAAAATATATATAATTAAGAAGCATTATGTACCGAGCAACAATACCCAATAGCTCTGTTTTAAACATTGTGTTTAAAAATGGTATGTTTTGATTTGTCAACCAGTCTTGGATATTTTTTTTGTCCATGCATTGTTGGGCACTTTGTTCAATATCATGCTGTGATAAGGGGCGTTATCCAGTATAATCATAGATGGACTCTCCAATTTTTCTAATAACTGATGTTGAAACCATTTCAAAAAATTGTCCTGGTTCATCTGTCCATGGTAATCGCTCAATTTTGTTTTCGAAGAAAATATCGCTTCACTACCCTCAATAAACCCATTTTCATTTCCAGCATGTAATATAATGTATCTAAAATATATTAGTTTTAAATTTTATAGTGCAAATTGTGTAAAAGTACATACCTTTTACCATCTGTTTTAATAGCTTTCACGCTTTTTTGGTTTCCATTTTGCCAAGAGCGACCTATATGGTCCCATTTTGAAATATCCAAGTTTCATCGAGGAAGACAAACTGGTATAAGGCCTCAACCTTGGCTTGATTGTATTGCCTTAGAAATTCCACCCTTTTCAAAGCTATACTTGGTAGTTCCATGAGCCCTCGTCGCGGATTGTCCTTAAGCCACTTAAATCCAAGATCTCTAAGCAACCGCCTTAAAGACGTGGCACTACCATCAAATAATGCCCTATCTCTTAATCGAGACCATAAAGTTTATATCGTAACTTGTTCTTCTGAAACCATGTGTAATATGACATTATAATTTAGTTAACAAATTAATGCAAATTTCTGATAAGTTATTATAACAAGATCTTACTTTTGTGATACATATTATAGATCACTTCTCGAATGGCACTTGTATCCAATGTCGCTGTGTTGGTTACACGTTTAATATAACTCCGCTTTTTCTTGGGCGATTCTAAATTTGCATCACTTTTCACACCCTCGGAAATACGACTAACTGTCCTTAAACTAATTTTTAAAGCAGCAGCAACACGCTACAAAAAATGAAATAAAATTTCACTATTATTAATATACATTACATATAATTATTAGTAACCTACCTCTTGAACAGCATTTAAAGGCAACAAAGGCCCGTTGTTGTCCCTTTCTTGCTCAAAGTAGTGCATTAACGAGGCCACGAGTTCCTTACACCGTCTATTTAACTGTTTGGGCATCTTTATATACCAAAATTGCCTTTATCTACTCGTAAAATGAATAATTTTGTTTTGAAACAAACAGTTGTTGATTTACAGTATGCGGGGCCAAAGGATTTATAAAGATTTGAAATGCCACAAATTGATTCAGTGTCAAAATTAATACAAATGTCAGTTCCCAGTTTAAATAAGTTTCAAGGTGACAATGTGTCAACGCTGCGAAATCGGTTTAGTGCGTTTACATGTCGATAAGTGATTGGAGCGTTTGCAAAACATTTTATTTCGCATAATGCGTCTAAATTTATCAGAAAGCAACTTATGTGATATTTTAATAACAATGTTTATATGACTATTAACCATAATAAGAGAGTAATGACCATTTAACAATTTATATATCACATTAACATGAAACTGCAATAGAGCAATTGTTTGTGATAGAAACCTAGGCATTAGGTCGGGGAATTTTTATCGTGATGACGTGCACGCCACTTTGTTTGGCGTTGACTATATGTACTGTTACGAAAGAAGTTGATGTTACATGAGGCCCAACTTGTACCCTTATCACGTGCAGATACTATTTGTTTATAAGTAAGTGAACTGGTAAACTGTATTATTTTATTATCTCGATTTCTGTAGGACTTCTGTTACATTTTTTTTTGAGAAATCAACTTCTTTCGTAATAGTGCATATAAACTTTGTCGGATAAGTTGTGAAACACCCTGTATAGGGAGATAAACGTCGGAAATGAGTGACATGTTTTTTCCTGATATTATATCACCCAAAAAGCATAATATCTCAAGACATATTCTGCTGGTGCAGCTTTAGACACAGATTCCCTATGAAGCTGTTTAGTGCAGTTATCTTTAAGCGCTACAGAATTTGCATAAACTAACATAATGGTAAGAAATTCGTGTCGCATGATATACAGTCGGTGTTTTAGGGCCACGAATTGCTACTTATTTTAAATATCACTCACCCCTGTTCAAACTAAAATTGATTTGATACAGGCATCCAAAGATTTAAGGATGACGCTAAAAAATTCTCTTTGACTCGGTGATAAAAATTGAATTATGGCCAAAACAGAGCCACTAATGTCGCGATTGGGTGAGAAAGATGGTTAGAGGGGGTGGTGTGAGGGTGTAACTGATTTACCGGCTCCCAGATATCTTGGGAAATATATTTGAGAAATTTGAATAATCGAATATGTCTGCCTTGATATAGGGGAATAAGGTGCTGAGCGGATTTTGTGCTAACATCAGGTTCTTTTAAAATGCATTTATTATTTAATAGTGCAGTCATTATTCTCTGCCTATAAATATTTTCCTCATCCCGAAGAATCATTGTTGAAAAGTTGCCTTGCCAGCTAAGCTCCTTATTTGTTAGCTATAGCCGGTATTCCTCAGGGTGCTTGCGTCCCTAGTATTTACTGTGGAGAATTATTGTAAAATAGGCTTACTTTTTAATATGAAGTTTTTTACCGTACGCCCCTACTAAAATAGACCTTTTGTTTCATGTATGAGAAAGCGAAACTAAAAGCACAGCAGGCATGCTACAATAACCTAACGATATGACCCGCATAGTTTATTAAAAGTTTTTACCGTTAATTGCATGCCTTTATTCTAAATTCGCCATCTAACAATGGAAACAAAATAGTACATGCAGAAACGGAATAATGAGGATAACTTTCTGGGTCCTCATTTGGAGGATTTATCTAAAAATGTCAGGGGGTATTACGCGACAGCGTTGTCCACCAGTTGGATAACATTTGTTGGAGTTAATAAAGCAAAGCCTGCAGAGGCGTGTTCTACAATTCCAGCCATTTCAATGTACAAGAGAACACAGTCTTGTTATAAGTTGCAGAAGACGGACAAGAAAAGGCGAAACACAAAATTTGAGGATACCTACTTCCCTTGCCTCTCTTGATCGAGTAATCAGAAGTTTTACTTTTTACGACGGAAAACGCGTGGAGATTTCAATTGTAAACATTTTGATGGGGATGTTTGAATTGCAATGGGAAGCACAGACATTTGACGAGTCTGTATAGCAGGATTGGCAATTGATAAAGGTTTTGCAACTGAGAAGATGAGACACAGACAGAATATTCCCAGTAGCTCAGGCTGAAGAAGGCAGTGTGAATGTTGAAGAAATCTATCTTCAATCGTTGCTTGTAAAGATGTGCATTAGTTGTCATCCATAATAAACAGAATGAAACAAAGCTTGGTTTATTCGTAGGCTTGTATTAGAAATGATATAAATTTCGGGCTTCTACGTAAAGAAACCTAGAAAACGTCAAAAAAACGTCAAAATGTCAACTTGCTGCCTGAATAGTTCCAGGTGTGCAAACAGTCTACTTTTCCTCGCTATGAGCGCTGTGAGCGTCCATCTATGGAGGAATGATTCAACGACACGATGCTTAATGAACATGCTGCTAGCTCCAAGTCTGTTTCCCATCATGCTTTGTTGGTTGCAGAATGCCGAGATAGTCTGTAGAGTATACTCTGAGAAGATCACGTCTGGATGATTGTATTGGTTTGCATGTACCATATATGAAATCAGTGAGATGTGAGAAAACTATAACTGAATATGCATTAAGTATGTACCATAAATTCAACTAACGATTCTTTGAGACAAAAAGTTCATACGAACATAGGTCCGCAAATTCTCCATTCTTAAAGTACAGGGAGTTCTAATTTCTTTGTCATTTGGTGGTGGTACTTACGAGTATAACATTAATGAGCTAATTTAGCCCTAACTTGATTATATTCATTAAGTCTAGTGGCATCTCGAGTGGGAACTGAACGAATATTTATGACAAAAAAATATAAACCACTGCCTTCAGTGCAATTAGTATTACGGTCTTTGGATTAAGCAAATAGAAATACAACTTTTTCGTCTCTTGAATTTTTTTCGTATCCTGCTTAGTTTTTGAGAAAAAAAGTCCACTTAATTACATATCCCTGGACTACACAAGGAATATGGGGAAAAGTTTCTTTTTGAAATTATATACCTCACCAACGAGAGATAGTAATTTTTAGATTTGCATACATCTCAAGTAAGTGTCTTTGATCCTCACTGTGCACCTATGCACTGCCGTTTGCTTCCAGCTATAGCATACAACTTACAGCTTAGACTTCCAATAATACCATCTCTGAAGTAGATGTTCCATCACATCAGAGCCAAACATTGATAGCTGAAGCATCATGACATTTAGGCAACATGTACAACTACGAAACGAGTACACAAGAAGTGTACAACAGCTAGTTCTAAGTTGACACTTAGATGTAGATAAACATAAAGTCCAAAAAACCTATATAATGTCAAAAAAGGACAATCTGTCACGTTTCAGAATACGTAATACCACTGCTGGAAACAGAAACAAAACGTTGGATAACAGGGAGCAGAACAAAAATGGTGCTGATAGAAAGATTTATATCCAGAAAATATTTTTCTATCTACAGAATGCTAAGGAAAAGTATAGTTAGAGAAAGTTGAATTTTATCAAATTGGGATATTCCGCATGGGTATCATGTAAAAAACCTATAAAACGTAAAAAAAACCTATAAGATGTCATCTTGCAAACTAGGTAGTTTTTAGGGCACAAATAGTCATTCCACTAGGATCGTTGTGAACGTCCATCTAAGGAGGAATCACTCGACTAAACTAAACACATTATTGGTTGCATATGTTCTGTGAGGCCAAATAGTCCTTGTCTGTAGTCCTTATCTTTGAGAAGAAAGTTGGTTGAATGCAAGATCGCATCTGGATGATTATGTGTATTCGTCTGCATGTGATAAAATCAGTGATATTTGCTACCAATGAAGTATATCTATTGGCTGTGCCAGACGGGTTATTTTTATGTTGTACTTTCTGAAGAGAGGTTATGTTCAAAGTTATAAATTACGAAAAACTGAGGAGAATTGCGGGAAATCATCACCGCGCCCGCGTTGTGTGTAATTACTGTTAGCAAGTATATGGCTTGTAATTCGACAGTGTACAGTGAATATAATTATATCTTATCTCCCTCATTTTTGAAATTCAGCAAGTTTGTATATGTAGTTTAAAGAATGGATAAGAAAAAGTGAATGCGCAACTAGCTTTGAATCTCAATTAAGTGTATTTGAGACAAGAACCTAAAGTAATTATCATCAACACATACAACTTACAGCTTAGACGTCCAGTAATGCCATCTTAGAAGCAGATATTACATCACATCAGAGCCAAAGATTGATAATAAGTCTCATGACGTTTATTCAACACGTACAACTAATAGACCGGGAGATGTGGGCAAAAATGTGGGGGTCATGTGATACAGCAGGAAACCTACTCAGAACGATAGTACTACAGGAAAAAATAACGTCTAGCACTATGCCGTCACTTGAGAGCGGTACATGTAAGTACAGGGGAAAATTAAATTTTCTGTCCAGAAGGGATCCGAAAAGTCTAAATGATATTTTACGGCTTTCTTTAGTATCACAGATGCCAAAATAATCACGATGCACTTAGTGCCTTATGGAAATAATGGTGCGGCAAAATTAATTAATTAACGTATGGCATTGTTACAGTTACCTTTCTGTAATTTTTTACATTTAAAATGTACTAACGCCGTACATATCTGCTGGTACAGGGGTGAGAAAACTTGGCTCGCAACCCCTGCTTTAGACCTCTATGGTGGAAAGTCATCGGAAAATGTACGGCATTCATTTCAGTCTCTTGTTTAACATCTAAAATCACTTTAAATATTAATGCCGTCCTAAAAATTTAGTTCATATAAATATAAATAAATAATTACCAAAATTTGGGGGTGCAATATCATTTTCTTACAATAAAATCATAAGATACTATACGGCAATAAATCTTTTTACAAAATTATATTAAATATTATCATTTCACCACGTATCCGTTTATAAGAAATGGAATAACATGAAAATATATTAAAATAAAAGAAATATAAATTTTCTAAAATTTAAAGATTCTTAAATGTACTATTTATTAATAACAAAAGTGATATTAAAAATTATTCTTGCTATTTTATGTTTATCAAAGATTAAAAAACAAAAAAAAACATATGCCGTACATTTTTAATATTCAAATATTGTAATTAATGCAATTGCTAATTAGCAAAAGTACAATTTGCAATTGCCTATTAAATAATAGTATTTTTTCATTATAAAAGCTTCACAACAAAGCTTTATTTGTTAAAAGACAGATAATTTTAAATCTTATTATCTAAAAAGTTCGCGTGACTGATTTGACAGAAAATCGTCAAATTTTTATCATTTAAGTTCATTCAAAAATACTAAAATTTACTAATTATTAATTATACACGGACTGTAACTCAACAGTGCCAACTTTATTATTTTAATTTGATAGAAAATATCGAGGGGCTAACGACACAAAGTAACTGATTTAAATCACCCTTAAATCGCAGTTAAATCCTAAATCACAACCAAATTTGAAATATCCTTCAAAAATATAAAGTAAAACGCGTTATAGGTCTTCGAGGTTTTCCCCGTGTGGCCATAAATTCCACGAAAAATGTACGGCATTATAAAAATTGTCGTTAATTTATCAAGTACTATTAAAATTATTTAATTTTAAGTTGTATCATCACCATTATACTATATAAGGGTAGGGGGTTGCGACCAAGCCAAGTTTTCTCACCCCTGTACCAGCAGATCTGTACGGCGTTGGTAAATTTTAAATGTAAAAAATTACGGAAAGGTAACTATAACAATGCCGTACGTTAATTAATTAATTTTTCCGCATAGAAAATTACCTGAAATTTTTTTTTTATGGCTTCCGGCACCATTATTTCCGTACGGCACTGAGTGCATCGTGATTATTTTGTTGGCATCTGTGATACTAAAGAAAGCCGTAAAAAATCATTTAGTCTTTTCCGACCCCTTCTGGACAGAAAATTCAATTTTCCCCTGTACTTACATGTACCGCTCTCAAGTGACGGCATAGTGCTAGAAGTTATTTTTTCATGTAGTACTATCGTTCTGAGTAGGTTTCCTGCTGTATCACATGACCGCTCTATTTTTGCCCACAGCTCCCGGTCTATAAGTGCTAAGTTAATATCTTGTAGAAAAACCTACATAATGCCAAAAAAACCAGCAGAATGTCAAAAAAAATTGGCATTATGTCACTTTTCAAGTTACGTGATACCCGTGCCGATCTTGATTGTTGTCATTACAGTGTCATTTTTCGGACAGTTATCCGGAAATGTACCCGTTTGGTATAATTTGAGAATTTCCTAAGAAATACCCCAACAACTTTCTAAAAATAGCACCACCATATATTTTATAGTCTTAACTGACAACAGCGACTGTCAGCGTCGCCTGGCACAGTTTAAGCTACGAGTATATTGAATTTCCTGACGAATTTGAGGAAATGAAATTTTTGCGGGTTGCAAACAAAAACATAATTAAGTAATCGAATGCGCCTCACAAACTAGCTGCTATAATTTTTCAAGCATTGTCAGAAATATCTTGCCATGAAATAGCTGTTTATGTTTTGAATTAACGCTGAGCATGCGACGTCATTTATTCTTCGGGAAAAGTTTGCAGAACTTCCAAAGCAGGCAAAGCCAATGCAGCGAGACTAGAGCTAGTTAGGTGCTATGACATTTAAAATGAATATAAATGAAAACACGTTATTGAAATTTAGAGGCAGTGATCACCGGCAAACATCAGAGATCGGCTTGTTACTCTGAATTCCTGAATTTAGAGAGCTTCTTTTCGAGCTGAGGATCGGATTAATCGTACAGGAAATGAGCTTATTGATATATAAGAGGAATGATTTCGGAGGCAAGACATCCTCTGGAACACCCGCGTTGACATTGTGGGATGAATTCTCAATTACTATGGATGCTGCTAGAGAGGAAGTCAGCCAACCATCTACAACGCTTCTCTGGGAGGCCATAGAATGGAAGTTTGTATAAGAGGGCAGCGTGCCACAGCTGATCGAATACTTGCATGATACCAACAGGAACATGAGCCTCACCATATGGCTGGATGAGTTTACTCCACAGTTGCGTAACGTAAGCAAGAGATCTCCTGTGGACCGCTAGTGCCTGAACCATACTGTCGCTAATAAAGCCTTGACGTTTGAGGTCTCATGTTACGATCTTATGCTTGAAAGCTACCTCCCACATAGGGTACTC